TCACTGATATACTAAAAACCTTCTGAAATGATCACATATCATTTCTTTCACTGACCTATTAATTTTAATTCAGATGACCATATTGCATTTTACCTGACTTTTTTAATATGCTTGTGATCTTCATTTAATATCTCTTGCTGTATACCCTAATTTTATAAATCCTTACTTTAACGTAATATTGTGATTTTTACCCTGCATATAAGCTGTGACATTTCACACGAAATGCTGTAACTGATACTCACCATGGTTATTGATTAAATTCCTATATCGCAAGTGGATTGCATTGTGCACATAAAAAGATGTACAAGATATATTAATACATAGCATATATTAATGTTGATTTCTCATTTCACAGCTGGTTGAGTGGGACCCTTCTAATGTGATAGCTACAGGTTCCAGTGATGGTGTAGTTCGGGTATGTACATGATAATACTGTAAACCACTTTTTTTTGGGGGGGGGTTCAATCAATTCTGTAACAGTGACATTTCGCTGGGACCGTTAGGGCATGAAGTAACAGCGGTTTATGGTTCTGTGATTTCTTATTTATCATAACGAACATACTTGATAACAATGACTCATTTTAACACGTAACTATGGTTACTTGCTTTTAACCAGTTTTATCGCATCATCTGTAGACATACCATTTACATCAGCAGTACATCAGCGGCTACCAGCACGTGATGTGTAAATGATATAGTATAGCGGCAAAATTTAAGAAATGAAAACAAATGTGCTCCGTGCATTAACTGAAATTATTTTTTCTGGTGATCACATGTGTCATACCACATCAACCCTTTTTATTTTAACTTTCATTCAAAGTACCCCCTCTATGGCAAAATTGACTGTTGACCTTCAGATCACTATTTGACCAAAGAATTTTTACCGGGCATTAACAGTCAGTGTTGTTTCTTTAGATGTGGAGTATAGAGTTTGTTCAAGTACCAGCCGACCCGCAGAGACAAGTATCCGGTACAGAGATTAGAGATATGGATAGAAGGAATGTATCTGTGACGCTAGTAGATTGTAAGCAGGCGTCAGTCGATAGCAGTATATCGGAAGCTGAAACTAAGAGCGTTGACACTCAAAGTATAGACAGTGTTGCAATGTGTAGTGAACAGTTTACTCCAGGAAATACCAGTTTACCAACACCAACAGGTGATAACCAATCATTGTGTAGTACGACAGACGGGGAGATGGTTTCTGGTTGCAGCTCACATCAACTTGATATGTTGTACTTGGGTTCTGAGACGAAGGAGAACCCAGAGAATGTTGATGAACATGAACAAGTTGACGTTGAGAGCACTGAGGAAATAAGAACGATGCAAAGTGGAGCTCTCTGCCAGCCTGAGAATCAACAACAGTTGCAACTGAAATTGGAGGAAATAAGTAATACTACAGAGATAGACAATGAAATAAGTTCTGTATCTTCAGTCTCACTTTCAGAACAGGTGAATAATGGGACTGTTAATTTGGGAGTTGGTGAAGGACTGAGAGCTGAGTCACCCATCAGTGATTCTGGTTCGTACGAAGTGATATCAGATTTAGAAATCAATGATATTCATCAAGAGGCACGCAGATTTCGAAGACAAGATACAGGTCCACGGGCATCTCATAAACACAAACTCAAACCTGGTAAGTACCCATTGGCTTAGCCGAATCTGATAGATCAGAAGTATCGTATGTAGTTTTACCATGTATTTGCTTTTGCTTGTCCTGCGATTTGTATCTAGAAAACCTTATTTGTTTTTCCTTCTTGTTCGCTAAATCCAATTTACTTAATATTTAATAATCATTATATGTCATATTCTCATCCAGGTTTTAAGTGGGAAAGACAGTTGATATTTCGTAGTAAATTGACACGCCATACAGCATATGAAAGAAAAGACAATGCACATCCATCCTCTGTTACAGCCTTAGCAATTTCCAAGTAAGTGTCCAGGTGTTTACAGTAACTGTTCACATGTTTACAGTATGTGGTCAGGTGTTTACAGTAACTGTTCACATGTTTACAGTATATGGTCAGGTGTTTACAATAACTGTTCACATGTTTACAGTATGTATTCAGGTGTTTACAATAACTGTTCACATGTTTACAGTATGTGTTCAGGTGTTTACAGTAAATTGTTCACATGTTTACATTGTGTTCAGGAGTTTACAGTAACTGTTCACATGTTTACAGTATGTGTTCAGGTGTGTACAGTAACTGTTCACATGTTTACTTTATGTGTTCAGGTGTTTACAGTAACTGTTCACATGTTTACAGTATGTGTTCAGGTGTTTACACTAACTGTTCACATGTTTACTTCATGTTTTCAGGCATTCACAGTAACTGTTCACATTGTTTTTTGGTAATTAGGGAGTCGCAATGTATGTGTGTAGTTATTTATATTTGGTTTGATGGAACTGAGACAGTTGAGAAAGGTGTTTTTCGTCTTGTTGGTATTGTGCCAAAACTTGGTATATCCAATGAGAATACTAGTTTTAGATATTTTCATTTATATCAGTATGATATAAACATAGCATAACTGTCTATAATTCTTATCATTATATATTTCATTTCATTGCAGAGATCATACCAAAGTCTACGTAGGTGATGATAGGGGGCGTATATTCAGTTGGACAGTGACTGACCAGCCAGGTAGATCAGCTGCTGACCATTGGGTCAAAGATGAAAGCGGGGACAGCTGCGTTGCATGCAATACGAAGTTCTCATTCTCAGAACGTAGGCACCACTGTCGCAATTGTGGACAATTATTCTGTGCAAGGTAACGTTGTAACTTAACTGTGACTCATTTTTTAGCTCCGCGGAGCTTATCATATGAGTGATTGTCTGTTGTCGTCCATGTCAATGTTTTACTTTTTCGACTTCTTCTTGAAAACTACAAGCCTGAATACTTTGATACTTGGTGTATATGTACCTTAGGTAGACCTCTCTTAGATTTGTTCATTTCATGTTGATATCTTCAATTCTCTAATTTTGGTGAATATTTTTGTCATTTTTGGTAAAAAGTAATATTTTCAACTTCTTGTTGAAAACGACAAGTCCAATTGCTTTTATATTACATGTATAGGTACTACATGTGGACCTCTCTCAGATTTGTTCATTTTGTAATGATATCTTTAATTCTCTAATTTTGGTGAATATTTTTGTAATTTTTGATAAAAAGTGATATTTTCGACTTCTTGTTGAAAACCACAAGTCTGATTGCTTTTATATTACATATATAGGTACTCAATGTGGACCTCTTTCAGATTTGTTAATTTCATAGTGATATCTTCAATTACTTAATTTTGATGATTATTTTTGATACTATACATATTGTTCATTTTCTAATGATATCTTCTGTTCTTGAATTGAAATGTGCATTGCTAACAGCGGAGCAATCTCAGCCGACAGGCTGCTTGTTTTATAATAGGTTTTCTGAGATAACAGACAACACCACTACCCTGCTGTATCCAGCAGTGTGCCCTCTATTAAAGTCGATATGCCACGTCACTGACACTCAGAGATGTTTTGTGACGCAACTAGTTATGCTAGTTGTCTGATGATGCAGCACCACAAAAATACATTGCTGTTGAAAAATATCTTACAGTATTTATATTTTTTATTAACAAAATAACTTCATTTCAGGAGTCTAAGTTTAACAATGTTTTAGGCAATATAGATTTATATTATGAATCCAGGATACTTGACACACCACTTGAATAGTGTTTATTTTCTCACTGTGTATTCTAAATTGATGGTTTCTCTAAATCATCTGACCAAGTTCTAAAGCATTTTATACCACTTTCAGTGAATTAATTAGTCACAAATAGTCATGTGACATATATGTGTAAAGGTCATGAGTAAATAGGGGGTCATGATTAGGGGGCCGACCTTTTGAAATCATGCGGGGGTAGATAGGTTGAAAAAAAATTGCTAGTCACCAAACAAAAATTGCATGCCAACTGTTGCTGGAAAAAAGAAGTGTAAGTATATTAAATAAAAATAAAACTGTATAAACACTAAACAAAAATAACACTGCTCACACGCACTCTTTCCACCACCCCCATGGTTCAAATGTTTGACTCCTTACTAATATCCCATATTTTACCTCTTAGATGCAGCCGTTTTGAAATTGAAATTAACAGACTGCGCATTATGAAACCAGTTCGAGTTTGTCAGGCTTGTTACAATATACTGAAGGCTGAACAGGCTGCAGCTGCTATGCAGAAATCGTGAAGCTGTTTCATGAGTTCCTTCTCTTTGTGTACATACTGCCAGTACTTGGATTTTGTGTATCAAGTTCAAAGGTCACACTGATTTACATTTTGTGGATAATGATTTAAAGTTCATTTAGTTCGAATAAAAACTAATTTGCATGTTTTTTGAAATATTCTTGATCGTAATGCAGAATGCGATGTTTTAAACTTAATGTTTTCCTTGGCTTGATCTTCAAAACTACCTTATAAGGTAATTATTTACAATACTACCATATAAGGTCGCTTAGGTTTTCAATAATACCATAAAAGGTTCCTTTTGTTAGTGGTAATCACCACATCACCATATAAGGTGTCGTGTGACCATATATAGTAATATTAGTGACTTATATTATATTTCAATAGTTGTCTGGCAGAATAGCCATCTGTTAGAGCAACTTGGCTGATGTGTTGACAGGAAAGACTTAACAAGGACCCTTCCACTTTTTGTTTTTTAAGTTTTCAGTCAGGGTATTTTATATTACGTTTGAATAACACATTTGAAATAATCTTGGCATGTACAATATTTGTTGTATGTCTGTGGATATATAAAATATAGACTGTTTAAATCACAAGACAATTACAGGATATATAGTATTGCAACCATTGTGGTGGCCAAGCTTCAGAATTTCCCTAGTTTTTTACATGTATAACATTTTTTGCTGGCGGCAGAGTGACATGTAAGACCTCTATATGCATATATTGTTTAGAATTGCCCGCAATAATCTGTAAAAAAAAAAACTCGCTCACTTTGCTTTGCAGCGAAAACTGGTTAGAAGTTGATATAAACAAGATATAGGTAGTATTCAATATCTTAATATTAATACTTCCTCATTTATGTGTATTATTGCCATGGTTTTGTGTTGTTATAATTTACTGCTTCATCAGCTAGGTTACATGTCGGTGATGCAAACCTTAAGATCATTACAATAGCGGTCCCACAGCAAATCTTGCAATGTTCTAACTGCAATCCGATTAACTGCAATTTGATTTTTGTTCACCACTGGGTTTCTTCCAATGAGTAATTCTCCTAGTCCTAAAATGATATGATAAGAGCTATTGCAATACCTCTAAGCTTGTTTATTTTGTGATTGCTGTACATTGAAACCAAATGTCCATCTTTGTACGTAGGATCATTAGCATGTATTCAGTTACTTTGAAACATTTATACAAGCTTTGTTTTGATTGGTGCTCCAGCCTACAACCCAAGTAAGGTCCTCCCCCATTGGCTTGCTGATTAAGGTTCCAAGTTGTGAACCTCTTTAGTGTTATAGTTCAGTAGGTTTTGTTGACGGTGAGGTTGTCATGGTAACAAGAACATTTATATTTTGAGTTCATTATATGCACATGCAAACCACACATTCTGTTAGTTATACTTGCTTGCTTCTCTAAAAAAGAAAAAAAAAAATTCCTTACTGATTCTTTTAATCATTGCCTGTTAGAATCGTTAGCCCGGTATATCTTCAGTATAAATCTTCTGTGTATACTGGCCTGTTCAGTCGGTAGCTGTCTTTGTTTAAATATACAGGTTCCATTGATTACTATGGATGAATGTTTAATTAATTATTCTTAGGGACAATGTTACATTTTGCTGCGATGTGATGTAATTTATATTTTTGAGATGTATCATTATGTGGAAAATAGTTTTGAACAATTTAGCAATGTAAAAAAAACATTAAAAGGATATTTTTTCAACAATAATTTGCTGATTATATGTCACAGCAGGCTGTGGTTTTTCTTGACATTTCATTTTTTCCACTTTTTGTTGAGGTATATTGTAGCTTAAATTTACAATATATTTGTTTACTTGAGAAAAACGCTGAATGCCTTGTTCTTTTCTCTCTTCATCTTGGTTTTTAGATTGATCTTGAGTTTATATTTATGATTAAATTTAGGATGAACTCGAAGTGTATTGAAGTACTGGTAAATAGTTATAAATTTAAATGAATATTTACAAAATTGATTTTTTTTTGTAATCGATGAGACATGTGTAATGTTGCTTTCACAATATCTCAATAGCTGAACAGACGAAATGTATTAAAATTAATCGTGATGATTTTTAGTTGTTTCGATCGCTGTCATTTTTCCTGCCAGTTTCGTTATAGAAAACTGCTTAGCTGCTAGAAGTTTTCAGGATTTTCACTGCATTCATGATGACAAACTTTCGAAAAAATCACAGACTGCTACAAAATGTCTCACTTTTCCCTGACTTGCAATAATTTGTTTCATGCAAAATTAAAGCAAATATTTACAATTTTTTGTAATTTTTGTGTTTATTTTGGACCAAATCGATATAAATTTTTGGGAAAATCTGGAAAAAAAAATTAGCCAGATTTATTTTGTGAGGTTAAATGGTTAACCTATAATTTATGCACATTCTTAGATCTGAACCTTCAGAAGTAAAATAGTCTCCATTCATTGGCCAGTTTGAATGCAGGGAATTTTGTTAATTACCCTCGTATGATGCAACTTAGTGTAATGAGAATTTCAATCATCCAAATTATTATCGTCAATATCAGATGAATGCTAAGCGTATTTTGGACCCTTGAGCCTGGAAATGCATCGATTCTAGGCCAATTTTGAGTATATTTTCTGAAAGCTTAGGCTATAGAGAGAGATGACTGAATCTTGGCTAGTTGCCAAAAAAGTATTTGGAAGTTTCAGTGTAATTTAAAAAACTAAAAATGAACTCCAACCCTGCCAACCTCCTTTGCAGAAAAGTAGCTGCTGAATTGAAAAGGTGCTGCTGTTGGATCTATGTAAAGATTGAAGCTTTCAGAAAGTAGACAATTTAATTGATTTAGGATATATTTTTACTAGAAAAAATGGCTAGTCTGTACACTCTGTGCAGCTCTGTGCATTTCTGTGCAGCTCCGGGCATGTTCTCAACATGGTCTATTCGTGGCAGTGGTTTGAAAATAACTGTGCTCATATATAAAATTGTTCTGCCTTTTTCTTCGTACATAAATTTCTATTCTCGCTCTCTACACAGTGATGTAAGTTGTCTCGCGCATTCTTGTTTTTTCTAGCCTTTCAATTCATGTTTCAAAAAACATGCATATTTACTGTAATGTTGACCTGAAATATTGATTTAATAGTCTTTGGGTGTGACTGTATACCATCTTTTTGTGTATTATTTTTCATCGTATTTGAGGTGAAGTCTTAATTTATCTATTTCTTTGTATAGAACTTCATTTTTGAGAAAAAAATGCATATTTTCATGTTTCAATATTCAATCACTTTTAAAAATTGTGTATAAATCTTTATCACTGTGCAATCATCCCTAAATTGGTAATGGTATCACCCAAGATGTGTTGCTAGTGTCTTGGCTTTACTTTACTTTACTACATGTCATAGTAGGGGTGGTCAGGGTATACTTTAATTCATGGGTGGCCATTCTGATCAAGAATCCGCTTATGTTGGTGCAATATTAAAGCCTATGTGCATTTCTATGGAAACCTGTTGTAAAATTAATTAATGTGAAGAATAATTTGCTGTTTGTACATTTAGTAGATACCAACACATCTTTATGTTGTCATGGTAACAGATGTATTATCACATAACAAATGATAATAAATATATCTACAGTTCATGAAAAGTTTGTATTTTTTAGTTTTCATTCAGACCAAGTCAGAAAGCAGAGAATTGTTTGTTGACCTGTGCGTGCGTGCGTGCGTGCGTGCGTGCGTGCGTGTGTGCATCCTTGCATCCTTGCATCCTTGCATCTGTCCTTGCACCTGTATCTCAACATGTCTGGACTGATTACTTTCAAACTTAACACATACATTATGCATATTAAGATACATCTGCATATCAGGTATCCAAGTCAGTTTTGTCCTTTTTGTTTTTGTTCAGGTTTTTTTTGCCAAGCCATTTTGAGAAAATCGCTGCTGAACAGAATGGTCTGAAAGTTTTTTATAATAATACACCCTAATGCAACCTGGTTTACCTGACTTTCAGTCTTTTTGATTGGTAGATTGGAAGTGAACATTTTGAACACTTTCTGAGGGTTGAGGCAATCTATTGGCTACCTATTACGCGAATAAATACTTCAGCGGTCATGTGACATTTTCCACCACGATTTTTTTTCCTCTTAAAATGTCAAAACTTAAACTGTGTGTTCGATATAGGAGTGGCCCTTAGTGACGTATACAACATGTTCAAAATACAATGCTTACACAAAATTATAAAAACTCCCTGCACAATGATTGTATCACTTTAAAGATCTTCTTCAGAGCCTCTGAACATATTGATCTATTGTGCAAAGTGTTGGGGGAATATAGTTTGGCCGCCAGATGGGATTTCTTCAAAGATCTGCAAACAGGAAGTGTCGTTAGTTTTTTAGTACTGCACATGCCTCAGACGTCCCTATTTTCATGTGTTGCTTCTCTCAACTGAACTCCTTCAGAAACTAAAAAAAATAATTCAACTTAGTCACATGATTTAGCCACCATCTTTCATTTTCCAAAAAAATTACCAATACTTTGAGCATTTGTTTCTCATGAAAGCTTCAACCAATCAAAATGTATAGCTTTATGCAAGCAAGTCACAGAGGTATTGGGGCAGTCATTTTACAAACTGGCTAGCGAATTGGCTAACTGCTTTGGTTTTAACTGAACAGTTGGCCTTTGAATCGCCTTAAGTTGGTCAGTGTCCAAGGCCTTCCAATGAAGACAATGCTCTATGAAATATTACAACTCTTACTTTTCATGCATATCTTCCATTTCTGCTCACATTAACCCAACCCTCAGGCTTTTCTAATCATAATTTTTATGTCACATTTGCTAACTGATTTGTGTACAGTAAAAGTATAGTGATATTCAAAAGTTAAATTTATAAAAATAGTTTATATACATAATTAAAGAATGAAGCTATATGATGTATTAAGTATTGTATCATTCATTTTTACTTTGCTGTATAACAATTTGAATTCCCTGGTACATTTCAAGAATAATGTTATAAATTATGCAGATTTGGGGGCCAGTGTCAAAAAATCTTTCCTCCAAGTTTTCTATTCACTGTTGTTCAAACACATGTTCTTTTGTATTCAAGTTGTATAGATAGTCAATCTGAACAAATGAATGAAACATTTGTTGACTCCCCTCCTGGTGAAGAACACTGTGACATGTTATGGTATGTGGGGGTTATATAATACCACTCTTAAAGCAATCACACAAAATACAACTACATGATTTATAATTTTATTTATTTTCAAGAATGTTGTTAGTGTATGTCTTGTGATATAACTGGTTACTCGGACTATATGTGATCATTTCGTGATGAATAAAAATAGATCAAACAGCGTGCATACAAACAATGCAACTCGTTGAAGAAAACTTGAAGGGCGGCAGTCGCCGTGCCGCGTCCTGTTCGATATGGGACTCATAGCGACGTATACAACGCGTGTAAAATACATACGCGCTTTAAGAATGCCACTCCATCTCCTTGCACGCCCTCAACGTCAAACATAGGCAGATCAGTAACACTGTAATACTCTTTCTTGAGTTGTGTGCCGTATTTACTGCATTGTTAACGGTTAGATTACGACCTACTGTCACGCTCATCCAGACGTCAATGTCATCATCCAAAGCTACGTTGATGGGTGTTGCATAGTCCAGTGGAAGCATGGCAGTGGAAAATGAAGATTCTGAAAAGTAAATGATAAATTGTTATATGTAAAAATAAACGACCCATTTTTGTCAGATATTTGAATTTTATTCTTATGGTAGTGAGCAAGCAAAGTAAGGCTAATAGGTATCACACACATACAGACAAACTAATAATCCGTCAGGCACAAGTTCACTTGGTGTGCGCCCTCTACGACGTCCGTTATGCATCTCCTGGTGACGCAATTCCTGTGATGATGGTGCACGATCATGAATAGTTTTACGTCATTACTGAAATGCAGGGGTCTATAAAAACACTAGTAATCAAATCATGATGGAGTTTTATCTTTTAGTTTCAGTTTACGAAATGACAAAAATTTGATTCAGAGAATTCACGAATTAGAGAAATTAGCAAAAACTATATTGTATCAACTTGAAAAATAAAGAGGTTTGCATGCAGCTAGCTTTTGAAGACCTTTGCATATTTACACTCCGGCCATTTCTCTCTGCTCATTGTTTTAGCGTCGCCTGTCGGTTACCCGCCATTTTAATCACAATAATCATGATTGGGTGTAATCGAACGTGCAATCTCAGCTGTGATTTATTTTTAGAATAGAACGAATTTCAGTTAGATGGAATAGAATTGTAGCACATACGGTGATATCCAATATTCATTACTGCAAATACTAAATTCAAAAATGGCCGTATTACTCTTTCAAAATAGCTCAACAATTTGTAATCAGTGTTTCCTAAATGAAAATATGTCGTGTGTAAAGTGACGTCCAGACGTCCATATTGATCTGATTTGTGGTTGTCTTCTAACAAAAAAAAGTTCTTAGAAGAATTGATAATTGGTGGGGGGGTTAGTGCCATGCAATTCCTAAAATATTTATATTCCCTCCTCTCTACGACAGAAGGCTTGAGGTAACATATAAGGGTCGACAAGGGGTATTTTCGTAAGCTGTAATCAATTGTTTTCATATTCTTATTAAAGTAATTAAAATAAATTAAAACGTAAATTCGTAAACATGGACATGGTGTAAAATGTAATATTTTATTCGTCCGTAATCTGTACAAAAATCTTATTTTTTGTAAGCGTATACAGCATTTTTAACATTAAATGTCGTAATTCGCACGCAA